GACACAGAGAAGGGAATTATCTTGTCTTCGTGCCCACACTGGATGGGAACAAAAGCCCTGGGCCTAATCACACCCTTGAGAATTTGGGTCAGAATTTGGGCTGGGTATAAATTCTCTGGGAAGGTTGTGGCGCCTTCATCGTAGAGAGTTTTAAGAGCATGTTAACACCATGTCTGCCTGGTGACACATGACATGGATGGACTTGATCCTTCCTAGAGATAAAGGGCATGGCCCTGCTGACCCCTTAATACCCCTTGCCAGCCCTGGTTCTCTGAGACTGCAGTGCTGGGAACGGTAATATCAGCTCCATTCTCACCTCCACTGCTCTAAGAGGATTTCCCCCAGGATGTGCCTTGGCTAATAGGCTTCAGAAGATCTCTGGTGAGGCCAGTTTTAGCGTGACCTGCTAGGAAGTGATCAATACCCCTTCCTTCTTACTGCCACCAGTGGCCAGTGGTTTGGCTTGTTACTGGCTTTCATGGCTGCTAATGCCTCTAATGCTCTGTGCTGGTCAATGCAGAAGAAAGTGAGGTGGTGGAAGGAAGGCCTCCCTACCCAAATATAGCTTTCAGTGAAAATTAACCTTTCCTGCTGCTCCAGCCATGCCCAGGCCTAAAGTTTGGCAAGGGAGACCCATCAGGTCTCCTGCAGGGACTCCTGAGCCATGGGGTTAGTGTGGAGAGGATTTTTTTCTGTGCCATTGGCACTTTCTGAGGAAGGGAACACGTTTTGTACTAAACGCCTGTCCAATCCGGCCATCACCTCTTTATTTCCCGTTTTTAAGGAAGAATTTGGCTGTTCTGCTTTCTTGCTTTAAGATAAGTGTAATTTCAACTTGCTTGGCCTATTTCTTGCCAGACTGATATCCTTGCTTCTCTTGTTTATCTCTGTATTCACAGAAAAGAGGATTGATTTAGATTGGATACAAGGAAGGAGTGTTTGACAGTGAGGGTGGTGAGCTGTTCCATGGTTCAGGAGGATTTGGGTCTCAACTTTGCTACAGCCCTCCTCCAACAGATCACTTGGGGTTGGGTGACCTGGGAATTTGGGCCACAGGGTCTTGCTTATTCCTTATCTCTGGCCCCGTGACGTTCCAGATCTAGGGTTAACAGCGGCCCAGCACCAACAGAGGGGTTAAAGGAGCTCCTGCTCCACCTCTTGGGGATTATGGATCCTATTTACTTGTAAAGTGCTTGGCAGTCCCGGGAAGCAAGGCACACCCTGGGATTTGTAGGGAATGTCATGGGACTGACACAAAACACAGGCTGGAGGAACCCGTCACCCTCCGCCGCGGGACACACCGTAACTGCAGGGAGTGAACACGGAGTGAAGCCCCGTCTCTCCAAATTTTAGGGTTGCTGATGGGGAAAATGAGGTGCTCAGGCTTTCTAGGAGATCCCCACAGCTTAGAGGATGTCCTCTTCGGAAGGTGGGAGATAAGCACTTTGTAAACAATTCTGAAAATCCCGACCTCAGGACATCCCCTGGACCTCAGGACATCCCCTGGACCTCAGGACATCCCCTCAGGGGAAGAATCCACAGCCCTGTTTCCCTGCTTTTGGCAGTGCAGAGCTGCTCTCCCAGTCCAAAGTCCTCGGTGATGTGGAGGTGAATTCCTCTGAATTCCTCAGCATCCACACACCTCCTTGTCCAGAAGCTTTTACCTGAGATCAGTTCTGTCCTTGCTGGCAGGGCTGAAGATAAAAGCACTGTTTGCAGGCACCTGTTGCCCTTCAAATTTTAGGGCATCAGAAAACCCTCCTCACCAAGAATTAGTCATGCATTTTTGTTCTTTGCATTATTTTTCTCCTGTGCAGGCACAACTTCCTGTGAAAGTGTGATATTCTGTGCATCTGTGGTTTTCTGAAAGCACTTCATAAAACCCAAGGGATTTCAAATACTTCCTGCTGTGGTTTCTGTATGGAATTTTCAAGGCATCTTCCTCCCAGAAAGGCTATGCCAGGAGATGAGCTCAGGTGACTGGGAAGAAGCAGAGAAGCAGCTCACTGGCTACAAATCAGACAGAACTACCTCCCCAAAAAATGTCAATATTCATGGGAAAATCTGTCTTTTAAAATGTTTTTAATGATTTCTTTTTTTTTTTTTTTAATGCAAAGTGATGGGTTTCGGATGCACTTGCAGTTTTATTTCCTTTCTGGAAAAGGAAAAACTCTGTGGCTTGAGGAAGGGATGTTTAACATACCACATTTGGGGACTTTATTGAACTAAAGGCAGCAAATCTTTCCCTGAGCAGAAAACCACACATTTTTCTAGCTGTTTGCTGCAACAGCAAGCACAGCAAGCAACCTTCTAACCCCATTCCCAGGGCAGGAAAGCAACTTTGAGGGGCTAGGGCCACAGAAGGGCAAAAAAAGGCATTTTTACTTGGCTTTCCTCCTTTGGAGAATTAGTCCATATTTTGTATTCCTCAGCCATCAGGGTCTTTTTCTGAGCCCCATGATCTGGACCTGCTAAGTAAGGCAAATCCAGATTAGAGCCTCTCACAGCAGAAATACAGGAGAGATCAGGAGGGAAGAGGTGGGAGGAAGAGACAGAGAGCAAGGGAATACCAAGTCACCACACTTTTATCTTCTACCTCATTTTCCAATTTGGAGTTTTCCCTAGAAGTCCCCAAAAGGGTGAAATTTGAAATTCTTGTGAGAGGGGCAGTCAAATTTCTCTCTCCTCCTTGGGTTTGCTTCTCAAATCAAACCCAGGGACAGAAGAGGGGAGTGGATGTGCTGGAGGGAAACACACAGTGTTGCTTGGGCTGTAAATGGTCCTTAATTTCACGTGGCAGCTTTGGGGTCCCTCAGCTGTACCAGTCGTGCCTGCAGCTGAGCCCGTTCCAAGCTCAGAGTCCAACCCCCAGCGCTGCTTGGTTTGACTGGCTGATTTGGGCACTGCTCTTCCCTTAAGGCTTCTCCTGCCCTGTGCAGCACTGGAGGAGTTTTAATCCTCCAGACAGCTCTGAGGAGGCTGAAATAGCACAAAAGCCTCTGGACTTACAGAGTTTCACTCTGAGACAGCTCTGGCCTCTCGAGATGAGACCCCTCTTGGTGCTGAGCCCCTGAACAATCCCAGCTGCCAGGACACCTACGAGCTATTGTTCTTAACATTATATTTATATGTTTAACACAAGGCCAGGCACTGGCCCCTCTCTCCTGGGTTATACAGGTCCCTGGGGGATCAAGGGCATGTCCCAGTCTGTGGCTAAAAGTGACCTTGAAGGAAGCCAATGATGTGTGGCCAACACTTTCCTCTGACTCCTCTCCTCCAGCACCGTGGGGTCCCTTTGCTGTTGGGTCTCCCTGACCAGCCCACCACCCCTCAGACAGCTCCTGCATCCTCCTCCCCACTCCTCCCGGGGAGATTTTCCTGTCCAGTCATTTGCTGCCTTTCCTCTCTTCCAGGATGTCAGCACCAGTCAGGATGTCCCATCTAGGGGTGGGTGACCAGCAGCAGGAAGGCACAAGAAAGGATAGGAAAAAAAAAAACCTGGAGCCAGGGTAAAGCTTGGGTGGGTATGAACATTGAAAGAAAAGGGTGGGAGAGAAATATTGCAATTTTTCTGGTGCATAAATCTTCCTCTTGTTCAGGCACCTCAGTGCTTAATTAAGAACAGTATAATAAAAATCTATTAATAGAAAGCAAGGAAGAAAACATAGCAGGTGACCTGCTTTATTTGACTGGATTAAAGGTGGGATTACAGGAGTGTCTAGAAATGTTGATAAGGGCTCCACCAAATTCTTCCCTGTTACTGCCTCTTTCCTGGGAATAGCTGGATATCCAGCAGGTCATTCAGATGAAGAATCTGATGGAATAACTTGCTCAGGGAGGGAGGAAAGGGGAAAGAAAACAAAACCCAATGATGGCCCCAGTATTGTCAGTTGAGGCAGAGTTTTCATTTTTTGAACAAGGAAAACTTGGCCAAAAATGCAGCTGTTGCAGTTTCAGGAACAAAAATGAGGTGCACGTGATCTGCGGGATTTTTGGTGGCTCCTTGCAGGTTGGTAATGGAATATGGGGAAGAGAAAGGGAAATGAAGGGCAGAGAGAGAGAGAGAGAAGGAGTGAAGGTGTCAGTGTTCTGTAGGGTGATGCAGAGCTGATCTGAGCAGGTGGCTTCCTGCCACCTGAAACTTCCACGCCGCAAAATCCCATTACGCGCAGAGTTTAATGAAGTTCTGGATGTCAAAAAGCAGCAGCTATTTAAAGCCTTGCTCACCTGCCAGACGTGGCTCTCCCAAACCCCAGGGGATATTTCCTGCCTCATGTCCCTTCTCCCTTCCCTCACGTGCTCCCCTCCCCTTAGGAAATGGTCTCACTTGTAAAACAAAATGCGCAGCGAGCTCCTGAGATAGCCGGGGGTCCCATGCAGGGGTGTCTGGGGTTCCATTAATCAGGTTAGAAACAGCACCCCTGGAGCCCAGGGCTGGGGAACCTTCTGGATGAGCCCTTTCTTAGCCTTTCCCTGGTGTTGCTGCTGAGGGTGCCTGGCATGTGAGCTTTCTGACAACCTGTGCTGTGGGTGGTGAGAGAAGAGCTCAGAGCAATTACGGACACGAAGAGCACCGAGCAAACGAGGTTTGTTGGTCGATCTAGGTGAATTATATTTAAAAAAAACACATATGGCTCATCACCCCATTTCAGAATGAAAATAATGCAAGGAAACTTTTAAGGAATTCAGAACTGCCAGGAAATATCTGAAAAAAACTGCCACGCAAGGCAGACTGGGAGTGTGCTGGGGAGTTTCAGTAGTGCTACCCACAGATGGGATGTTTTTCCTTCTCCTTCTTTGTACCTTCCACGTGTCCCCTACGTGATGAAAAAATGAAAATCCTGGCTCTACACCCTTGCAAATGCTGTGAAAATCAAATCCTTCTCCCTACACTGTATGGACCATATGTTAACTGGGACTGTGCTGTGGCTGTGAGATGGTTCCAGGGAAAGGGAAAACCTGGAGCTTGATCTCCATGGTTTCACCTTGCTGGAGGCACTCTAGATAAACTCCAGGTGGCTGTCTGCTGGGACATTATATTGAGCTTTGTGCTTCTCAAAGAGCTTGGACAACTCGTTCAGGTATTTCTCGTGGACTTGATCCACTTCTTGCTCGGAGGGTTTCTGCTTCTTCTGCACTGGAATTGGCTTCCCAACTGGAAAAGAAGCACAGGCATTAAAGAGGAGCCAGGGTCAAGCTGTCTAAACACACTTGCATTTGAGTTGCTTCCACTTTGCTCAGATTAAAGTTTTTTTGAAGCATTTGGTTTTTATTAGGAATCAAGTGCCCTCTTATCTTAAGAAGTTCACATTTAATTCAAGGTAAATCTAAACGTTTTTATTCCTAGCACGAGAATAAGCACCTTCCCATCTCCCAGAGCCAGCAGGAGCAGGAGGAGGTGCCTACAAGGGGGCAGGGGGGTCTGTCTGTGAGGCTTCTCTCATGCTCTGGGCTCTTACCCAGATTGTGTTTGTCAGGTGAGGAAGGGCTTCAACATCGTACAACACAATCCCTCACCCCGCTAATGAAGAGCCCTGGTGATACTGCCCAGCCCATAAAACCATTGAGAAGATCCAAACAGGTCATAATGCCATTAGAAGTAATTGCTGGCTGTCAAACTGAATCAGTGGGGCGAGCTCCAGCCTTTCCAAACAGTGGCTTTTGACTGGATTAATTCCCTGGATTAATTCACCGCATTCATCGGCCGTGCTGGTGGGCCGGGCACGGGGTTGTTGAAACCAGGCAAAACTTCTTCAAAACCCCAGGTTTTCTTGAGATGTGGTCTCCCATGGGCCTGGTGCCAGCCTGGCCAGCCTGGCTGTGCCAGGGGCTCTGGGGAGGGACTCACCCACGGTGCAGATGGGGCGCCGGTAGGGTACGAGCCCGAAGCTGTACTGGAAGATGCCTCGTGCGTGGAAGAGGGGCAGGGAGATGCCCATGACCTTCTGGAGCCGGTGCTGGATCCACCTCAGCCAGGAGCCCTTGGGGTTCATCACCTGGTCGAAGAGGTCGTTCTCCCCGAAGGAGAAGGTGGGGACCAGCGGGGTGCTGTGGGAGAGGAACCCAGACTAGGGGTGTCAGGATCAGCAGAGCCCGCCCCAAACCCCGGCACTGCCGTCCCAAACACCCCAATCAGCCAGCCCAGAGCACCCCCTGCGCCCCCTGCTCACCCGTGCTGGATGGCCAAGCGCACGAACCCCTTCCTGTTCCTCAGCAGCAACGTGCAGGATCCTGGCCGGGCATCCAGGGCCTCCTGAGCCCCCCCCACGATGATGGCCAGCAGGTTCCCCCCCCCAGGCCTCTGCAGCACGTGGGAGGCACTCTCCTTGTCAGAGGCAACAAGGCCTGGGGGACAGAGAGCAGTTAATGATGAGATCTGTCAAACCCACCCCACTGGTGCGCTCTGGATGTTTTTTCCCCCATTATCCATCTCTGGAGGGGTGCCAGGCACTTCATTTCCAGAGTTTTCCTGCTCTTTAGCAATCTCAGCTCAGCTCCCCTGAAAGGTGCTGGGTTGGTGCACGGCCCTGCTGGGTGAATACACAATTATCCCTTTGCTGTCTGGCTCAGAAGGGAGTAATGAGGGAAAAAAATTTAGGAATAAAATAAACTGAGAACTAACTGTGCTTAAACCCCAGGGAAAATCTGTTTTGGTTTGTTTGCAAGTGAAACCATGTCCAATCTTGAACCTTCCTAGAGTCAGGGAAACATTTGTTTTAGGTCAAAACATGAATTTCAGTGGATGCTGCCGATCTGAAGTGGAATGCAATGAGGGATTTGGTCCCTTGATGTTGTTTACTTGCAAAGGTTAGAACTCTTTAATTCAGAAATGACAAGGCAACATTGTTCTGATTAGCTAAAAAAAAAATAAAAATTCTTGTTTCAGGGGTTGAAATAATTTGCAAATTAAAACCTCTTGGGGAAATGGATTCAATGGACCTGAAAATGAGCTACACAGCCAACTCCTGCATTGCAGGGATCAAACCTTCCCTTACCTGGGTCACAACTCCCTCACATCTCACTGTTTTCATTCCTCACCGTCCATGTAAATATTTTTTCAGCAGCAGGAGCCAGAGTTTCCGTGGAAAACAGGGTGATGGATGCCCTGGGTCCATCAGGTGGAACTGGATGCCTGTGTTTAGTCTACCCCCATTCAGCTGGAGAAGTGCCATGCCCAAGCCCACCAGTGAGAGATGGGAGGCCATCCTGCCAGCCTCTAAACACCTCTCAAAATTCCCTTTCCCGCCCTCTCCATTTAATTTTTACCTATTCCATTTCCTATTCCTTTTTGCTACTTCTTCCTCCCCTGCCACGTCATTTTGCAGCAGCATGAGCTGCTATTTTCATCCTCTCACCCTGGATGCTGCTTCCCTGCAAGTAGCAGATACTTCTTCTAGTGGGCGTTTTCTCCTCCTTTCAGTGGCAACCACAATTTCAAGCCTGAACATTATTTTGACAGACAGGAAGAAATGCAGGCCCACCCTGCCCTGCTGCTCACGGTGTGCTCTGCATTTTGCTGTGACACAGCACCTGGCACAGTGATGCCTTGAGCTCAGAGACCATCTGTGAAGTGGAACTACGGAGATAACAACTAGGAGAGCAACTTTTAACTTCAGGGACTTTCTGGGGTGCCAGCTGCAGGGGCTGTGTCCAGGTATGGGGTCCAATGGGCCACAGATGGGGGAAAACAGCCTCTTGAGTTTTTTTACCCTGGTGTCTTCACTCTCCCACCATCCTGGCCGTGCTCCTCACCTCCACTCATCAGGTAGTCCCTGAAGAAGGGCACACGGAACCACAGGGAGAGCATCATCAGGTGAGGGGTGATGCCCGGGAAGAGCGTGGAAAAGCCCGATGCCTCCGTGCAGAAATTGAGGAAGGCTCCAGCTGCCAGGACCCCGTGGGGGTGAAATCCCAGCAGGTAGTTCTTCCTGGGGTCCAGCTCCGCCGTCTTCACCATCTGGGCTCGGGGAGGAAGCCAAGAAGGGGCCGTGAGTGGGTGCTGTCAGCTCTGGGGGTGGAGCATTTGCCATGCAGAGTGGGTAAGGCGTTCCTGGAGAGGGTTCCTTTGCACCCACCACGCCTTCTGTCAGGAAAGGTCCACTGGACCAACCCCATCCTATTTCACCGAGCTGCAATTCATTGCCAGTATTTCCATTTCCCCCCACCCATGGACCCAAAAGGACTTTTCCAAAGGTCCAGTCCCTCGTGCTGCCTCGGGCTGGACCACGTGCTGTTGGGAGCTGACTCGGTATAAAATGGCCTCCAGCACAATTCCTAATACGGGGAAAAACGCTAAAAACAGGTGGAATCACCATCGCTGAAGGTGTTCAAAACCCATGTGGATGTGGCACTTGGGCACATGGTCCGGTGGTGACCTTGGCAGTGCCAGGGGAATGGTTGGACTCCATAGTCTGAGAGGGCTTTCCCATTTAAACAGTGCTGTGGTTCTGTGATCACAGGGCCACCGTGAATTCCCAGGCAGCTCCGAGGCACTTGTGCTCAAGCAGGACCAAACCCTGTGCATTTTAGGGTGTCAGCCCTCCACGACCCCCAGTGCCACTCGGGGTGCAGCTGATGGTGTGTGTGCTCTGAGGGAGCAGCCAGAGCTGCAGGTTAATGGTGGGGCTGTATTTCCCTTTCTTCCCTCATGGCTCATTTCCCCCCTGTCCCAAAGCTCTGTTGACTGTTCACATGAGCCCACTCAGGCGCCTTCTCCTAATGAGGGGGTGGACAAACACGAGCCCCCCCCCGCCCAGGTGCAGAGATGTCCAGCAGGAACAGGGGCAGATGGCTCTGGCACTAAGTGCCCGGGGCCCCTGCCACCCTGTGCTCTTTTTTTGAGCAATCTCAGCTTGCATCAATGTTTCCTGCATTCATCTTCAGCTCCCAAACAGCCCCTCGTCTCCAGGTGATTTATAAGCAGGCAGGGAAGACGCCCGGTGTGATGGAAACTGCCACATTTCTGGCTCTGTGTTGCCCTGGGGAAAGCAGGTCCCTGTTTGGTCACAGTGCCTGCTCACAGCTGGATAAGCTGGGCACAGAGAAATCAGGGAGCCTGTACAGGACTGAGAAGGAAATCTGCAGCGGAGGAGAGACTTGGGCAAAGTCTCTCACACTGTGGTCAGGCCCCTGGACTCTAAACCCCCCCTTCTCCTTCTGGAAATTCTTTAACACAGAAACTCCACCCTCCCTTCTGGATTGTTCCCACCGTCTATTCCCTCCTCCCATCTCCACCTGCCAGAGGTCAATCTCCATTCCCAAACTGCCAGGGAAGTTAACCCCTGACCCTGCACTGCCCCCTCTCCTCTGCCCAGCCCCGAGTGCCTTACAGAGCTGGGCTGGGGTGCCAAGGGGTGGCACCGTCCTCCCTCCTGCCTTGGATGGGTTGTCATTCCCACACCCTCCGGAAGGCGGGTACTGCTCTGGGCTTTGTGGGTGAGTGGAACATTTAATAATTGTCCAAGGACTTCCTTCAGTGTCCAGCCAGGCCAGTCTTACATGGGTAAGCATCTCACTGAGGCAAATGCCTGACCCAAGGTTCTCCTGGCCAGACAAGGGTGGTTTCTCATCTCCGAGGTGCCGGGGGTGCCCAGGGACTGTGTTTGGTGTGTGTTCTGAGGGCAGTGAGCTGCAGCAGCTCAGGGTTGTGCTCTCCAAACTGAGCCACGAGGGGTTGACTTCCTCCAGCTGCCCCTTGGCACGGTCAGGGCGCTGGCTGGTGGTCCTGGCTGCTGCCAGCAGCAATGATCCCTTCTCAGAGGTGCTATGAGGCCTTTTGGATCCCACTGGAGGGGGAACTTGGCCTTCATAACAAATCCTAATCATTTAAGTTGGAAAGCCCTCTAAGATCATTGAGTTCAGCCATTCCCCCAGCACTGCCAAGGCCACCGCTAATCCATGTCCCCAAGTGTCACATCCAAACAGCTGTTTAATTTTTCCAGGGCTGGGGACTCCACCCCTGCCCTGGAAAGGCTGTGCCAGGGCTGGACAACCCTTTCAGCCAAGAACTTACTGAATTTAAATTGGTGTTTCGAAGGAGGAGATCTATTTTATGCTGCATCATGGAGAAAGAGCTTAGCTGCAGTTTTTCAGGGCTTGCAATGATTACTCTGAAACAGAAAACTCCCCTTATTCTCTCTGCTCAGATATGAGTCCAAGGCATGGGTGAAACCCTGCCCCAGTTCCTCCAGCTCCTGGAGAGACACGGTGAGACCTTCTCCCTGCACTGTCAGCCGAGTTAGGGAAGTCCATACACAAACTTCCAGGAGCTCTGAAAAGAGCCCACGTCCTGGTGAGGATCTCAAGCAAATTAATCCAAATTAATTTTAAACTGGATTAGTTAAATGGCATTAACATCCCAAGTAGATGCTCTTAGATGGAATTAAAGTGCCCCTCATTTCGTATTTGTTTTCTTTGGGTTTTAATTCATTTTGGAGGGGAATTAAGCTAATTGGAGTTAGGGCTTCTGAGTGACTTTACCAGCCTAGGAGTTCAGTACTGCTTTACCCAGCCTGATTTAAATCACCCCTTGAGATGTGGCTGGGACTTCCTACGGACTGGACTGTCCTGCCCCAGGCCATGGATAGACAGAGAACAGGCACCTGTGTGAGGCTGTGCACTGATGCTTGAGGAAAGGGTGGGGAGGCCCTGGCACAGGTTGCCCAGAGGAGCTGTGGCTGCCCCTGGATCCTTGGAAGTGTCCAAGGCCAGGTTGGACGGGGCTTGGAGCAACCTGGGATACTGGAAGGTGTCCTTGCCCATGGCAGGGGGTGGGACTGGGTGAGATCCAACCCAAACCATCCTGTGATTCTCTCGCTCATCAGCCCACAGCAGGCATCACTGATTATCTGTTCAAACCTAGTCTGGCCCAAAGAGATTCATTTTAAACCCTTTGGTATATTTTACACAAGATTATAGTGCAGCTGAGCTCAGCCAGGCACTGGAATCAGAGAATCACAGAATCATTAAGGTTGCAAAAGCCCTTTAAGACCACTGAGCCCAACCGTTCCCCCAGCACTGCCAAGCCCACCACTAACCCACGTCCCCAAGTGCCACATCCATACAAGCTTTTAAACAATTCCAGGCCAATTCCAGGCCTATCATGAGGGTGTATTAAAAAAAAAAGGACTAGAGCAGGGTTAAAATGCAGGCAAGTGAAGTGGAAATAACTCTCCCGGGCAATGCATTTGGATTCTCCCTGCTTTTTTCTCATCCACTTTTTAAAAACATCCCAACTCGTTCGGGTCCTGCCTGACCCTTTGAGTCCCAAACCACAAACTAAAACAGAGCCAGTTCCAAGGGGACTAAACCCAGCAGCAAAGTGGTTCTTGTGCACGGGTGGCCTCGGCAGAGGGTGCTCCTCGCACTCAGCATGGGGGGCACAGCTCAGTCACCCACACTGCCCAGACAGCAGCGCTCAGCCCCACAGCACACACACCCAGGGGTCCCTCAAAGGCACCAGTTAAAACTGCTTCCCAAAATAAAGCAGCACATCCCTCCCTGCCCCCAAACCCCGGAGTTCCACGCTGAGTTTGCTGCTGGGGTCGGGGATGATCAGGAGCCACGTTTAATCTTCCCAGGACATCTAATTCTCCATCCACACACAGATGCAGCCCAGGGTGCTGGGGGCCAGCCTGGTTTATGTCCCTGGATCCCACTTCTTGTGCCCCTGTTCTGGTTGGGCAAGTGAGGGGGTTCACCTGGAGAAAAGAAGGCTCCAGGGAGACCTGAGAGCCCCTTGCAGGGCCTAAAGGGGCTCCAGGAGAGCTGGAGAGGGACTGGGGACAAGGCATGGAGGGACAGGACACAGGGAATGGCTTCCCACTGCCAGAGGGCAGGGTTAGATGGGATATTGGGAAGGAATTCTTGGCTGTGAGGGTGGGGAGGCCCTGGCACAGGTTGCCAAGAGAAGCTGTGGCTGCCCCATCCCTGGAAGTTAGACAGGGCTTGGAGCAACCTGGGCTAGTGGAAGGTGTCCCTGCCCATGGCAGGGGGTTACAAACAGATGCTCTTTAATGTCCCTTCCAACCCAAACCACTTTAGGATTCCATGATCCTACGACTGAGAAAATATTTTGGAGGAATAGCATTATGTGACTGCTCGGTTACAGACCTCTTTTTATTACATTTTTGTTTTGTTTTCTGCTGTCACCTCTGTGGAAAGACCCCTCTGCTTTCTCCCAGACCAGAGGGGGGGAAAGGCTCCACCGAGCCCCCACTGCCTCCACCCGGCGAGCTGCAGCCAAACCCAGTCCCGTGCTCCCTCTACTGGTTTTACTGGTCCTCCTGCCAAGGACTGTGGCGTTCAGGAGGAGCGCTGCACGTCCTTACACAGGGACAGGAGAGGGGACAGGAGAGGGGACAGGAGAGGGGCCACCGCTGGGCTCAGCCGGCAGCTCGGTTTTAGCAGAGAGGTGGGTCCGACACTGCACAAGCGGTGGGTCACGGCCAGAGATAACTTATACAATATATGTCGCATATAATTCTTAGGGTCACGTACCCCACAGAGTCGCTGCGTGGTTTGGGTTGGAAGGGACCTGAGAGCTGCATTTGCTCAGGTTTGAGCCGGCCTGTGGTGGCTCTGAGGCAGGACTCGGTGCTGCTCCCTGCATCCTCGTATCCAGGGGGATACCACATGAAGGGTGAGGGCAAAGGGCAGCCACAGGCGTGGGAGTAAATCAGGCAATGTCACAGAAGTCCCCCTCAAAAGAGCTGCAGCTCTGTGAGGCTGCCCAGGGCACACCCTGCTTCCCCCAGCCATCCCCTCCCTCAGCACCAGGACCTCCTGGATTTCGGTCAAAACTTGGCCCTGTGTCCGCTGGGTGAGTGCTGAGCAACCTGAAGGGCGGGGGATGTTGAAACACAGAGGTGGAAGTATCGAAATATAGGCATGGAAATATGGAAATATAAGACCTGGAAGGCAGCAAGGTTAAACAGGTGCGGGAAAGGCAGGTGACTGAAGGATGAGGTGGTGAGAATGGTGGTCCACGATTTTTTTTTTTTACTGAATCTTCCAGTAATCTGGGAGCTGGGAAGACTCTCCTTCGACACCGACCTGCCAGCACCCCAAGGCGCGGCCGCTGGCCCCAGACCCCAAGGGCCACGCTGCTCCCCGCGGCACCGAAGGGCTCCACGGGGCGGGTGGCACTTACCGTGATGGGGAAATAGTCCCTCATGTGCCTCCAGACGGCGCAGTTCCGCAGGAATTGGACGCGCCGCCCTCCTTTCCTGGGCTGCTCCCTGTCGATGACCCACCAGACGGCATAGAGGGCACTGAGCAGCCAGAAGCGGGTGAAGAGGAGGGCGATGAAGGCGGCGATGCAGCACGGTGCTGGAAGAGAAGCCAGCGGGGTCAGGCGGGCTTTGGGAGAGGAATGGTTCGCTGGGAGAGGCTCCTCTGCTCTGGGGATGGAGCCCAAGCCCCCCTCAGAGGTGCCTTCAGTCTGACCAAGTAGCTCAGCAGGATGCTGAGCTATTTGGTCAGACTGGAGGCACCTCTGAGCCAGAGGGGGTTTCTTTTCTACCTGCCCCGGGATGTGAAGAGGAACCATGAAGAGCCACGATGTGGCCTTCTTTTACCCCAAAACTCCTGTTAATGCCGCCTGCTGACACCTGACATTTTGCAATGGCAGCAAACAGGGCACTGTGTCCTGCCTGTACGGCCCCCAATGCCTTTATCCTGAGCTAATGATTCCCCATTTTAATTGTGCCTTTGATTTAATCCCACGTTTAAGATTTTACTCTTTTTGAGTTTTTTTCTTATTGATTTTGGACCCTTTCCCCCACTTCTCAGGTTCTCTCTCAGCTCTAATCTGGCCTCCAGAGGATTTTCAGTGCTTTCAACTCGGTGTCAGCATGAATTCTATAAGGATGCTCTATTTCATTCTCTAAGACATTAATGACTTGGGACTTTCCCAAGTCATCAGAGAATTTTCTGAGCTGCTTCCAGTCAGTGCTCAGCTTTGACCTCTACCTCCCACCCCCTCATACCCTGTGTTCTGGCATGGAACAAGAGGAGAAAAGTCTGTGTGCAAACAAGCATCACTTGGTGCATGAAATCCTGCCCAAGCCCGAGACTGTCTGTCTGCAGAGACTGGGAAGTGGTGATGGCCACCAAGATGCCACCTGCTAAAGCAGATGCCCTAAAATGTGCCTGGAAAGAGCTGTGTCCTCTCCATCTGTCCCTCTGGAAGCCTTGGTGTCGCTTGGGAAGGGGAAGACTGAGCTAAAAACAAAACAAAGCACCCGTTCACCCCAGTCCTTTGCCTTTCCCTGCCCGTGGAAGGGTTACAACCACGTGTTGTGTACTTTGATCTTTTTTGGGTCTCCATCACAGATGCAGCACCAGAGCTGAAGCACCAGAGGATGGAGATGCCCTACTCAGCTTCAGCTTCAGCTGTGAGATAGATGCCTCCACACCCTCATCCTCTGAGACCTGGATTTCCTTCTTTGGGAGTCACCTGGCACCTGTTCTCTCCAGCTCATCTCACCCTGTCAGAGGAATAGGATGCTCTCATTTAAGACCTTCCTGTGCCTCCTGTTTGCTTTTACTTAAGGATAAATAAGTATATTTAGCTTGTAGTCCTTTTTTTGGTGATTATTCCCCCAGAACTTTGTGTGGAAAAGCAGAGGGGCTCCAGCCCTTGCAGCATCTCCTCTGTGGCCTCCTCTGGTCCTGCTCCCAGTAAGGTCTGATAAGAGCAGAGCAGAGGAGGGGGGAATCCCCTCCCTCAACCTGCTGCTCAGGCTTCTTTTTCAAGTGCCACAAACACAGACTTTGCAACCCTGGAGGAGAATTGCACAGAGCATGAACTGCAGCTCCAGGTCCACATGACAGGCAAACACAACCCACGGGCTGCAATTTCTTGCACCTGAGAGCCAGGTTGTCAGGGCTGCTGCTGCAAAACCCTGCAATGCCTCATTCTCCTTTTATCATATTGTGCAAGGCTCAAAGTACAGCCTGCAAAATGAAGGAGTTCTTCTGATCCAAATGCACACACTTATCATCCAAGAGAGGCTTTATCTTGCAATTATATAATTATTAATTTCTCCCTCGATTCATTTGCAATTTGACTTTTTTTTTTTTTTTCCAGAGCAGAATTTTCCCACAGTGACCTTCACTCAATCTTAGGATTGGGTTTTGTTGTCTCCTTTTAAAACCTTTTGGTTCTCCCTGGGAAAGGAGCCCATTCCATGTGCTGTGGGCAGGGATACCTTTACCCGGAGCAGGTTGTTCAGAGCCCCATCCAGCCTGGCCTTGAACACTTCCAAGAGGAATCAGAGGCTTGGAATCGCTGTGATCACCCTGGCACCGTGTGCCCTTTGAGCCAAGGCTGGTGACTGGGAAGGTTCAAAGGCTGGCTTTGCTGGGCTGGGTCTGCAGCGGGCCCAGGTCTGCTGTCCCTGTACTGGGTTTGTTTGCAGGGGCTCAGCCCTGCACTCGAGGCTCTGTGTGATGTGCCTGGATGGATGTCTGTGCCTGGATGGTTGTGCCTGGATGGATGTCTGTCCCTGGCTGTCTCCACACCCTCCACGCCGGGAGCATCCTCGGGAAAAGCGGCAGCGCGGCCAATGCCCGCCCCGTGTGAGGGATGTGGGGCAGCGGGGCCGGGCTGCTGCTGCCTCATCCCGCATCCTGCCGGCAATGAATGAGCCCTCGGCCCGTGCTCGGCTTCTCCAGGGATGTATTTGCACAACCATGGCAACAGCTGCCTGCGAGCAGCGCCGCGGGGAGCCGTGGTCAAAGGGCTGCGCCAGCGCTTTGGCAGCGCTGGAACGGGAATTTCGGGAGCCCTTCCCTGGCAGCAGCAGCAGGAGCCGGTCCCCGAGACAAAGGAGCAGCCGGCAGCTCAATCCTGCCCACGAGAGGTCGGAGCTCTGTGCCCGAGGGTTATAACAGTGCTGAACAGGGACGTTTGGCAGCTCGTGGGGTGAAATGCAGGGTATCCCTCGGCATCGAGCTTTTGCAGTTGTTAAACGGGGAGGTGTGGGGTGGAAAGCTCCAGGCTTGAAGAAACTTTGTGAAATGAGCCAAAACAGCTGGAATCGCTTCCTAAGGTTTGGTTATCAGTTTTCAAATGCGTTTCTTATGTGTTTTTGGTTTCAGATTGTATCACAGAAAACCTCCAAAATCAAAATAAAATTGTTCCAGGGAAAGGTGATAAACTCTGGAAGGTTGGCCATGGAGGAGGAGGGGGTTTGGGTCTCATCCTCATCCACAGAAAGCAGCATATCCCTGCAGGAGGTCGAGCCTGTGTTCGATTCCTCCCTTCTGGCCATGTGCTGTCTTTCTGTTGGCTCCAGAAGTCATTTCCATCACTGGAAAGTCAAGTGCCAGCTTGTTCCCAACACTGAGAAGGGAAAAACCTCAAGTACAAATTGGAAATTTACTGGAAAACACTGGTAAAGCTCCATAAGCCCCAGCTGCATCCGTGCCGGGAATGGAGATGTTTTGCTGTATCCCTTGTTAACAATGCGGCCACATCTCTGCTGCATCCCATCCCATCCCGGCACCACGGAGGGAAATGGGGGTGCGGGGACAGAGAGGGAACTGCAGAGCTGGGACTGCCCTCCCCCAGTAAAGGAGAAGCTTTGCGCAGATCTTATCCTAGATTCACAGCTGGCATAACAATGGGAAGCTCTGGGATGTCACCTTCCAGCCCGGCTCCCGACGGGCTGTAAATGGCCCCAGACGCTTTGCACTCACTGATAACCTGCCTCTGATGCTCCCATCTCTTTATTTGCCTAACAATTGAAGATTCCGGGATGTCACCTTCCAGCTTGGCGCCTGATGGGCTGTAAATGGCCCCCGAGTTTGCCCCCTCTGCTAACCTGCCTCCAGGTCTCCCATCCCTTTATTTCCCAGTGCATCCCATCCAAAACTACCTGTGTGTCGCTTCCATCAGCACCTGATGCCCTCCACATAGCACCGAGTTTGCCCGATTCTCGGTTTGCTAATGTGTCTCTTCCCTAAATCTGCTTGGGTTGTCTTGGAAAAACTTCCTTTAGGGATGTGCAGGGCCATCTGTATGAACTGAAGTGTCTGTTCCCAGGGCTGCAAAGCCGAGTCCCCAGGGCTCTTCCCATCCATCCTCAAGCACGGGAGTGCTGCTTCCCACACTTTACCCTGCCGAGCAGGGCAGCACCTTAGACCGGGAAAACACTGAACCCAAAGAGCAGGAGGAGCTGAAACCCCACTCGGGTTTGAATGCTCCGTAAGAGCTGTAGATATTCCCAGGCACGGCCAGGCAGCCACACACCTCCCTGGTGCCACCGTGCACTGACCAGGGGGTGGGAAGAAGCCAAAACCACTGGCACAAGTTGCCCAGAGAAGCTGTGGCTGCCCCATCCCTGGAAGTGGCTGGACGGGGCTTGGAGCAACCTGGGATAGTGGAAGGTGTCCCTGCCCATGGCAGGGGGTGGCACTGGAGGATCTTTCGCGTCGCTTCCAACCCAAACCATTCTGGGATTCTATGGAAAGCTCCTCAGAGAAGGAAGTGGAGATGCGTCTTACCCAGCCCCAGGAAGCTGAAGACCCACTGAGCCACGGCTGCCGTCTGGAGCCTCCTCTGCAGCGGCACCGAGCGCGGGGCGAACTCGACCTTCATCTTGGGCTCCGCATTCGCGTCTCGGGAGGAGGAGGAGGAGGAAGCGAGAGGCGAATGCAAAGTGCAAAGTCGCCCGTCGATGTTTGCTCAGTGTTACTGTACAGGGGGTTGTGCAATGTACAGTGGCGCTGGTGGCTGTCCCCAGCACCCTCCGAGGGGACACAGGGACGGGCACGGCCGGGAGGTGTCACCAGCCTGACACCAAAGGGGCTCGCCGCGCTCTTAGACGGGCATCATTTCATGCTTCTACCGCCCGAATGGGAGGTAAACTCCGTTCAGGACCCAGTCCTGCCTCCACGTTCCCCGTCTCTTTGCAATTTTGCAATATTTGGGTGCTGGCAGAGAGGAGGAGGCATCTGTGCCTGTGAGCCAGGCGTTATTTTCCCTCTGCCCCTACAAACCACCCTGTGCACCCCGACCACTCACCCTGCGAGCTTTGGGGTTTTGCACAGCAGGAGGGACAGGCGCGGGCAGGTCACTTTTATTTGCAAGTGATGTGACGAGGATGGGTTTCCACCTCAGCCGAGGAGGTGGGGGGACAACAGAAGGGTTTTCCTTGCTGAGCACAGGGTACATGAGGAACCTCATGCCTCTGTCACAACATGGATGGACGGACGGATGGACGGACGCATGGAGCAGACAAGTGTCCACGTGTATCTTTACACGCGGGTGTAGAGAAAGGAAATCCTCCCTCCCTCTTGCGTCTCCACCCCCACGCAGGTGCACAGTCTGAGCCTCTGCCTCAGTGCCAAGAGCTGCAATTTACTGCATGGGGGAAAAAAAATGCAGAACACACAGAAATTTAGGAGAAAAAAAAATCCTCGGGGAACTGTCGAGCCACTCAGGTAAACAAAGAAATCATCTTGTGAGAGGCCTGAGAAAAGCGAGGGCCTGATTGTAACCAGGATACGGGATAATGCCGCGAACGGGCTGCGCTGAACAATGAGCCGATGAACTGCAAAGCACCGGCCGAGTACAAAAGGCGTCTAAGGGGCGTTTCAATTCCCCAGGTCACCGCGGCCAAGAATTACAGAACTAAACAAAAAAACAACCTTTGGCAGAAGCAAATCAGGGATGTTGACCGAAAAACAATCCTTCCCCTTTGTCAGGCCCTAGGAAGGCGTCGGGTACGAGGGATTTACATCTGTTAAGCTCCATTTTCCCCCATCACTAGAACAACAGGGCTCTGGTGAAAGCCCAAGGGATCTTTTCCTAAAGACACCGGTTGCTTTAATTGAGCTGGAACTGGTTTAGGTTTCGCTTGAATCTCTCCCCATCCTTTGTGTTCTGCTGCTAATGTCAGGACCCTGCCTGCTTTGAGAAAGCAAAGGAGGGTTTTAACTCTTTCAGCGCTGTTGCCAGGAGACGGGATGTTTCCTGCTGAGAAACCATCGGTGATTTCCAAAATGCTCTGCAGAGATCTGCGGGTCCAGGGCTCCTGGTCTTCCTGGGCCGAGCAACCCCTTCACCGCCAAGGAGGGGGGCGGTGGGAGGGGTTAGAGTGGTTATTAGGGGAAATTCCTTCCCCAAAAGAGCTGTCCAGCCCTGGCATAGCTGCTCAGGGCAGTGGTGGTGCCCCTGTCCCCAGAGAGATTTAAAAGCCATGTGGATGTGGGTCGGGGTTAGTGGTGGCCTTGGCAGTGCTGGGGAAGGGTTGGACTCGGTGGTCTTGGGGGGGGAGTTCCAACCTAAACAATTCTATAACTCTGAAAAGTCCTTGCAGGGACATCTCCGGTTCAGTGATGATGTTTCAAGGTGTTTTCCACCCCGTCTTGCCCTCGCTGGAGCCCAGCCATGCCAAGGAGCTCTTTTGGGTTTTGCTGGTGAAAAGGGTCACACCTGTGCCTTGGGGACACCCAGACACGTGGGGAGCATTTTCTGCTCCCAGAAATGTCAGGCTAAGCCCCAGAGCAGTTGAATTGCTTACTCCCAGAGCAGTTGTATTGCAGAGTCCAAACTCTTTGCTTGTAGTTTGACAAGCACAGCCCCATGCTCTGGATTGATTATTAACAAGTCGGCTCCTTGGAAGGGCTGACCAAGGAGTGAAGCAAAGCCCAGCTGGGTAGTAAATATTTATGAGCTGCTCTGCTGTGGTGATGTCATTTGCTTTTTGTCTTTCTACTCTCTTAAATCAGGAGGGAAAAATACCTAATAATGGAGGGCTTTGAGATCCTCTGCCTAAATTAGGGAGGGATCACAGAATTCCAGACAGTCAGCAGGAGCTGGGAGAGATGCATCTCCTTGCTGAGTGCAGATAGAATTGAATCTGTGACTTAGAATCACAGAATCATCTGGGTTGGAAAAGCCCTCCAAGGTCATCAAGTCCCACTGTTCCCCCAGCACTGCCAAGGCCACCACTCACTCATGTCCCCAAGTGCCACATCCACAGGGATGTTAAATCCCTCCAGGGATGGGGACTCCCCCACTGCCCTGGGCAGCCGTGCCAGGGCTGGACAACCCTTTCCTTGAAGAAATTTTTCCTAATTTCCAATTTAAACCTGCCCTGGCACAACTTGATGCCGTTCCCCTTCATCCTGTCCCTTGTTCCCTGGGAGCAGAGCCTGACCTCCCTCCGCTCCCCCTCCTGTCAGGGAGTTGCAGAGAGTGAGAAGGTCCCCCCTGAGGCTCTTTTTTTCCTGTTTTTGGGAAGAGCAGAGCTGTGTCTGAGGCACTGAGCTAGCTGAGCAGTAGGTGACATGCCCAAACGCTGAGCCCAGATATCCTATATCGTGATACCCCAGGCAGCCTCCTTTCCTGACACACTCAGCCACTCACACATGTGGGCTCCAACCACATTCCCCTTGGCTTTCCCTTCTTAGTTATTTATAGTCATTTATCCAATCTCCCATGGCTTGCATTTAGTCTGGGAACATTAAGTTCCTTTAATCCCTCAATAAATCGTCCCCTGTAATCCCTTTATCAGTGCCTCCTGCGACTCCTCTGAGCAATGTCCACCTCTCCCCGTAAACCCTGAGTCAGAGCTGAAGGCTTTGCAAGTCAGCACGGTGGGATGTGCCCAGGAGCCTTCCCAGGCTGTCCATGGAGAGCTGGCCAGGCTCCAGGATGAGGGCTGGGAAAGCCTGGCCCGGAGGATGTGCAGGAAGCAGTGCAAGGAGCAGTGCAGTGCACGTACAGGGTGCCAGGACACTGCATAGCTCCAGGAGGAGCTGTCCAGGGCTGCTTGGTGAGTCCCCACCACATGTGGACCCTGTGGGACTTGGTGGCCCAGCAGAAGAGCTATAACCACTCTTCAGATCACTGCTCCTCTCTTCCAACTACAGATAACCTCCTTTCATTGACCCTACAGCCCCTCAGTTATTCACACACACTCCTAGAGCTTCCCACCAAACTAATTTACCCTCCAGTGGGCAAAATTATCAGAAGTAGACTGAAGGTATCTTCTCAGAGGTTGTCCCATGGTTTCTCTGAGTCCCATTCCTCCTTCTCCCCATCACCCCAAACCCACGTGATACCTTTGCACCCAGCTTGGTCTTTGCCCCTCCCCAGCTCGGAGTGAGGCCGTGGGTGTGACAGAAACCCACTTCTGCCTGCTGTTTTTTTGGGGGTTAATTTGTTTTTTTTTAAATATAAATTCTTTCAAAACACAGTATTTCAGATTTTACTCCCCCTCCTACCTGTTACAAAACCACTTCTTCTGAAATCCCGCTGTGTTATGCCAGTGGTTTTCATCAAAGAATTTCATGTCCTTTAGAGCACTTGAGTTATTGGTCAAATTCTTCTTTTCATGCACTTCAATTATTCTCTTTATGCAGCACTCTGATATGGATTTGCTTTGGCTCCTGTCCCATTTGGCCTTGAAACGCTCTCCCAACATACCTGAATCATAAGCAGAGTTGACAAGGAAAACAAGAACACCCCAGGCAGAACCTCCTTCCCAGAAGTTGAGTGTGATTATAAAATGATTTAAGATGTGAGAGGCCACTAGAAATCCTCTCTAAACTGTCTCCTGCAGTGTTGTCATGTTCTCTTGTCCCTGGAGATTGATCCTGGGGATGGAAGCAGTTCAGACTGGTGTCACCAGCACAGGGACACGTCCTGCAGAGCAGAGGGGGGTGTGGGACAGCCCTGCCAGTGCTGGTGAAGAGAAGTGCAGGTCAGTGGAGCTTTCCTGCATCTCATTGGGGTACTGTGGTGAACACCATTCACCAGGGCTGGCTTTGGAGCTGGAGTCTCCCCTGCCTTTAGCCCCTGGAGCTGATGCCCAGGGTCCCCCTGGGATGGAGGAGAAAAGCTCCTAAGGACCTGTGGGGTCCCTGCCAGCCCTACCTTGTCAGGATTTTCTTTTTCTTCGTGTTCACTCCAGCGTTTGTTGGTGATCTCCTGGGAGCCATGGGAGGAGCTGCCATCCCCTCCCTCTGCCTCTGGGCAGGGATTAGCCAGGAGCCTCCCTTTGAGATGGCTACCCCTCTGTGGGGTTTGTTCCCTAAATAACCCCACCTTCCACTCCTAAAAGGTCCTGCACTGAGCTTTGCACACCCTTTGGGCAGCGTTCTGCTCCAGTCTGATGTTGTGATGTCCTTGGTCTACCCCAAAACCAGTGTCCCACCATGTGGCCTCACACGGCCTTTTCCCAGAAGAGGCTGGAACAGGAGAAAGTGATTCCTGCTTCCTGCCATGGTGGCTGTAATTTAAAAACAGAGACATTTTTATTTATTTAGCTCCCATCCTCTCCGAGAGAGGTTTGCAGCCAGCACATCAATTCCACTGATTAGAGCTAATGGATTTTGCCTGACGATGCTTTTCCATAGCTGATTCCTGAAAGTGAGTGAGCAGCCATGCTTCAGAATGTATGTGTATACGTATATAGATATATATATATAACCAGAGATTTCACTGCAGGAGACACCAAGCAATTTTTTTTTATTCTGCAGCCTCTGAAACCACCCAGGTCCGCCTGCTATCTGCAGAGCAGCAAAGACTCCTGATGCTGCAAAACCTCTCGAGGCAGGTTTGCCCATGTCCTCTCCCACAAGAAAGGAAAGGATGGTCAGTGCATGACTGGGCATTTCCATGTGAGAGGAGCCCAGAGTGGCTGCAGGTGAGGGATCCTCAAAAGAAGGTAATGCACAGGCCAGTCCCCTGTCCCCAAATGGTGCAGGGTGCCGGGCACACCCCTGTGTGCTGGCTCTGCGGGATGCAGGGCTGGGACACGCCTGAGCTCCAGAGTGGGGGCTGTTCCAGTGGATTCACACAGGCTGGTATCCACCAGGAACACACTGATATCCCAGAATCACAGAGATGTAGAATGGTCTGGGTTGGAAGGGACATTAAAGACCATAAAGTTCCACCCCCTGCCATGGGGGGCACCTTCCACTGGACTTCTTTGGGCAACCTGTGCCAGGGCCTCCCCACCCTCACAGCCAAGAATTCCTTCCCAATATCCCATCTAACCCTGCCCTCTGGCACTGGGAAGCCATTCCCTGTGTCCTGTCCCTCCATCCCTTGTCCCCAGTCCCTCTCCAGCTCTCCTGGAGCCCCTTTAGGCCCTGCAAGGGGCTCTCAGGTCTCCCTGGAGCCTTCTCTTCTCCAGGTGAACACCCCCAGCTCTCCCAGCCTGGCTCCAGAGCAGAGGGGCTCCAGCCCTGTCATCATCTTAGTGGCCTTCTCTGGACTCATTCCAGCAGCTCCATGTCCTTCTTCCCACATAACTTCCTGGATAATTAATTTCACTAGTAGCTCTTTGTGCAACAAACCCCGAAACAGCAACACAGATTGAATTCAAAGATGTTTCCTGCAGGAAAGTCCACAAACACATGCAAGACCTCTGTGGGCAGCAGATCTCAGACCAAGGTCTGTATCCAACCTTGGAGATACTGAGGAGCTTCCCAAACCCTTAATTATTATCCCCAGTTTTAATTGCCCTGGAGGTAATGGCAGGGGTGATATAATCCCCGAAGACAAAGCATAGACACCTCTAGTTGCTATTTCTTTATTCTCTTTCCAAAGGCGGTCCTTTGATCCATCCATCCCTAGCAGTGAGGGCTCCAATCCCATCCATAAAATGAGCTTCCACAGTTTGCCTACAGGTAAGAATGAAATCAAGCAAATCCAGGCAAAGACAAGAAAAAAACTCCCAAACAAACCAAGAAACCCAAAGCCCTCAGGGCCCAAGGATCAATAGGGGGATGCAAAGCATTGTATTAAAGGGACAATCCCGACAGGAATAATCCTGCCTTTCACTGCACTCCTGGCAGCTGCAGCCACTGACGGGTGGGAATTGTTTCTTTCTCGTGGCAATTCCGTGTTTGAGTGTGTGAGTTTCACTGGGATCACTGCTTTTATTGGAGTCCTGCTCCCAGTGGAAATGCTGGCAGTGCAGGGAGGCTGATAAAGACCCGGGAGCTTCGAGGGAGGGGCGTCTGCACAGGGGGAGAGCAGGAGGGGATGTGATTTGGGTGCAAATGGACTTTATTGGCATCAGGGAATACAGAGGAAGATGCAGGGAGGAACAGAGGGGTAGAGGGATGAAAGGAGAGATGGAGGGACAGAGGGAGAGTAGGATAATGGGATGAAGGGATGGAGGGACAGGGGGATGAAGGGAGAGATGGGGAGATGGAAGGATGGTGGAATGAAGGGATGGAGAAATAGAGGGAAGGAGGAAGGGATGGGGAGAAGGTGGAGGCAAGGTTAAAGAGGAGGGTGGGAATGGAGTGTGGGGTGGGATTTGGGGTTGTGAATCCAGCCTGGGAATAGGATTTTGGCCTCGCTGCAGGAGCGGGGGGGGGTGTTTTGCTTTGGGTTTGCAGCTGCAAGTCTGCAATGAAATGGGAAAGAAACAGGCAAAAGGAACAGAATAAAGCATGTGTGTGTGTGTGTGTGTGTGCGCACGCATTTGCACACACGTGTGCACAGGTGTTTGGCTTCACCCATAAACCCTGTCTCGGGGAGGGGAACTGGGAGCAGCAGCTGGTGCTGAAACAGCTCCTGAAGGATCTGGGTGTGGATTTGCACACGTGTGTGCACAGGGGTGTGGGTGGGGAGGTGTAGGTGTGTAGGTCTGTGCACGTATGCATGTGTACGTGCACAGGAGTGTGCGCAAACACCCACCCACGTGTGTGTCTGTGGGGTTACAAGTGCATGCAAGCGTAGGGATGTGGCACGCGTGTGCACATGTGTGACACCAGCACACGTACGAGCTCACGTGTGTACACGTGCACACACCTGCGTGTGCCTGCAAATGCACACGCCTGTGCATGTCTTCACGTGTGTGTGCGGCTGGGTGCGCCTGTCCAGGTGTGTCACACACACAGAGCCACCTCTCAGGTGTGTGTCCGGGTGTGTCACACACACAGAGCCATCTCTCAGGTGCCTGTCCGGGTGTGTCACGCCCTCCCCCCCCATCTCTCAGGTGTGTGCCCAGGTGTGTCACACACTGCCCCCCCCTCCCCCGTGTGCAAGCCCCGCCCCCGTGCCCCCGCCCCTCCAAGCCCTGCCCCGCGCGTGCCCCGCCCCGCGCGGTGGGGGCGGAGCGGATCCCGGAGCCGATCCCGGAGCCGATCCCGGCGCGGATCCCGGCGGTCCCGGTGCGGTGCCGGTGCCGCTCGCGGTGCGGGGCTCGGTCGCTCCCGCTGCGGGGCCGCCATGGCGTGGCCCTGCATCACCCGCGCCTGCTGCATCGCCCGCTTCTGGAACCAGCTGGACAAGGCGGACATCGCCGTCCCGCTCGTCTTCACCAAGTACTCGGAGGCCACCGAGCATCCCCCCGCGGCCCCGCCGCGCCCCGCGGCCCCCATCGAGACCCAGCCGGGCGGGGAGGCGGCGGCGGGCGGGGAGCCGGGTCCCGGTGCCGCCCGGCCCGGCCCGGCCCCGCACGCCTCGCCCCCGGCGGACTCGGTGATGCGGCACGACTACAAGCCCTGGAAGGTGCAGCGGCCCGAGCCGAGCTGCAAGCCCAAGAGCGAGTACCAGCCCTCGGACACTCCCTTCGAGAAGGAGACGCAGTACCAGAAGGATTTCCGTGCCTGGCCCATCCCCAAGCGGGGCGACCACCCCTGGATCCCCAAACCGGGCCCTTCGCCCGTGCTGGCCCTGGACCGCGCTTCCCCGGAGAAACCGGCGCAGGAGAAGCGGCGGAAGGTGCACATCGCTCCCGAGAAGAAGGAGGAAGACCTCGAGGCGGAGGATGAGCATCCCAAAGCGGTGCGGGCCGGGGACGGGAGAGACAAGGGTCGGAAGAAGGCGGAGGAGGCGGGCGGGCAGCCGGCCGAGCCGGGCAGGGGCCGGGCGGCCGCCGATGCTCTCAACAGGCAGATCAAGGAGGAGGTGGCGGCGGGGGTCAGTTCGTCCTACAGGTGAGACACCACCCCACCCCCCCGTCCAGACCTCCCAACCTGCCGACCCCTCGCCAGCCCTTCTCCGGTCCCCCTTTGCACGTCCCCGGGAGGAGCATCCCGCCCTGGGACAGAGGCTGTGAAACATTCCGGGGGGGTTTGCGCATCCCCTGCCCGGGGGGATTGTCCTTAAATTTCCTCCCCTCTCTGGGGTCGGTGATGAGGCAGTAGAATGCTGTGCAGGTGGTGAATATATGGACGCTTTTTGTCGGGTGGGTTGGCAGGAGGTTTGAGTGTCTTTGTGTGTGTGTGTGGTCCCTCCCCCCGCATCCCAAAATCCAGAGACACCCACCGCCTTGGATTTCCGCAGGGGGAACGTCTGGGGTCACGTCCCCGGGATGTGCGAGTGGCCTCTGGTCCTTTCCCAGCGCATCCCTGGATGTCGTGCTGCAGCCAACCCAAAGGAGCAGCATCCCAAGGGGCCCACGCGCGGGTGGGGTGCCCCACGCGCAGGAGGGTCCCGGGAATCATCCCAGGCTGGGCACCCCCGAGACAAAGCATCCTGGGGCCGCAGGACACACACACACACACATCCCAGGCCGCTTGGGTGGGGCAGCCCTGGATGCTGCCATGTTTAACGCAGCGCGGCCGGGGATGACACATCCCCGTGTCCCCCCCAGCGATCCCCCCCACCCAACCAGGAACGGGTGCCCTTATTTCACCTCAAACAAGAGACCTTGTTTGGGATTCGGGGCGCGAAACTCCTCGCCGAGAGCTGCTGTTGTTGTTCCTCTCCGGGTGAAGGGGCTGGTGGATGTGTTGGGAATGCAAAACAAAAGTGATGGGGTGGCTGCCCTGCACGTACGTTTGCAAGGAGGGTTTGCTGCGGTTGTGTTTTCCAGAGCTTTCCTTGGCAGAGCCCACCGCTGCCGAGCCCGGGGTGGAGGTGGCAGGGAGCAAACACGGGGGTTGTGGTGACAGAAAGTGTCATCGCAGCCTTTTTCGCTTCTCCCTGTCGCCGCTCGAACGCCGGGGTGTTTGTGCCTTTCAATTATTGGTCTTCCTCCTTGGGGAGGTTTGGAGGTGACACCGAGCCATCAAACAGGTGGTGCATCCACGCAGATCCGAGCTGAAGCTGGGATTTGACTCCCCTGTCCCACCGATGACTGTGTGGCACAGCAGAGCTGGCAGTCGCCTCCTGTCCCTGGTCCCTGGGTGGTGTAAGCAGTGAGATTTTGATTTTTGCTGTCGTTCAGCATCAGCTCTGGCTCTCCCTGGGGCTGTGAGTGGTGCTGGAGGCTCGGGAGCATCCAGGTGTGACGGTGGTGCTTGGCTGACACAGGAGAAAATGGCCAGAGATTTTTGGGGGCTCTGTTGTGCCGGGGTGGAGTGTGTAGGAGAAGGGTTTTCCAGGAGTGACACAGCCCTTTAATCTGCCGTAGCCAGCTGGGATCTGAGGCTGGGCTTTTTGTCTGCTCACCTTGCAAGGGCTGGGCTTGTGCTGGGGATGGAAGGGCTAAAGCAGAAAGCTCTCCTGGAGCTGGGGGGTTGTTGTGATGCTTATCTTGCACTGCTGCAAGGATAATTAGACTTATTTACTTGCATATTTAAATGAAGATTGCTCACCTTCCCATCCCATCTCTCCAGTCTGCTCCAGCAAATTCTTGCAGCAGTTGGGTTGGGGTTCCTCCCCAAGGAAAGGGGTTGGATCAGCTGGGATGTTAAATCTAAGAGGAACTAGAAGGATTCAACTCTCCTTGTTGTTGCTCCTTGGCTTTCAGGACACCATTAGGGCTTCTCTTTCCACTTGGGTCCTCATCTGCTCTCCCATTCCGTGTTTTCCTTCCTTGCAGCATATTGCAGGAGGAGTGTTTTGCTCTGATGCTCAGCCCTGGAACACAAGCATCTCTTCATTAATGCATAAGTGATGTTGTGGCTAATTGTTCTCATTTTCTCTTCAAATTAGGCATCTCCTAAGCGCTGTTTATTGTTTGGGTTCTTTTTAAAAAGCCAAATGCTCCAAATCCTTGCTACTACCAAGAGCCTGGCTGCTCACACACTGGGTGGGTATTTGAACACCTCCAGGGATGGAGGCTCCACAGGCTCTTTGGGCAGCCCTGGGGGCCACCCAGCAGCCCAGACTATCTGCTGGTGACTAGATTGGAGCAGGGGTGGCTCACATGGGGCTTGTCCTCCGTGGCCTTCGCTGGGCCTGTGCAGGGATGGGCTCGTGCTGCTCCCCAGCAGCAGAGAGCAGGGGAGATCTCCTTACAGTCCTCTGCCACTGCTGCACAGCAGCGTAATGTGATGCTCCAAGGCTGCCAAACAATTCCTTGGTGCAACCAAAGAGCACACCAGGAGCGGGTTTTCAGCTCCCTCTGCCCCCCTGGGCATTATTGCCACGTGAGGAATAGCTGAGGGTGTGGAATGGAGTAACCAGCCAGCCCAAGGTCATGGGGGAAGTCCAGCCAAAGGGAACAATTCCCCCTTTTAACCTCTGTGTACCTCGACAGAGAGTGAGCTCCTGCCAGGTCTGCCCAGAGGTGCAGGGCAGAGGCGGTGCCTGGTGCTGGTGTCCGTGGAGGATGGAGGCTCCTCCCAGCCACAAGGATGAGTGATTTGTTTGGGCCCAGAAGCCTTTGGAGAGGCCAGAGCAGCAGTGGGTGTCCGCTGGAGACTGCCTGTGCCCAGGGATCCTACAGAATAAGTAGCATTTATGTCTGTTGTTTATTACTTATTTGTATTATTAACGGTATTTTTACTATTTATATATTTATTTACTCGTTAGTTATAATTTGGCCACCCCCTGGTGGATGGAACCTTTTCTTGTTCAGTTCTCTGACGTCCTGTAGGAGGATCTGGTGGCATCACCGGGGGCTTTATCTGTACTGGGCACAGGGGTGACCCTGGTGACCTCAGTTCTGCAGTGCTTGGGAAGGGATGGGCAGAGCTCTCCTCCCTGCTGGAGTTCACCCTGGAGGTCTGGGACCAGAGAGAGCAGGTGACAAAATGTGCAGATAGTGGCATTTGCTGGGTTTGTGGAACAATTAGAAGCACATTTGGCAAAAATGTGAGAAGGAATGAGTTTATGTTTTTGGAAAATATGGAAAAACGCCAGAATTAGGTGTTTCTTGGGTGTTTTTTCCTCCTTCTTCTTCTTCTTTGTCTTGCATTCTTCTCCTTTTGTTACCTTTATTTCCTGAAGACAAAAGATATAAAAGGGAAAGGAAACACTTCACGCCCTTTGCAAGGTATCAAAAAATGAGTACCAAGGCCATGAATTTTCCCCAGAGAAGCAATATTGCACAAACCAGGTTTCCAGCTCTTTACCAAAGCAATTAGTTTTTTCTCCCCCACCGATTTCCTTTCCTGGCAGAGGAAACAAAACAATAAAAGCTTCAGTGGAAAATTTTGGCCTGGCTCTGGTATTAATGAATTGCCTGTTGCTAAGGTTCTGTCATTCATCTCAGACCCTGGAGGTACAAAAGATGTGGAGCAAATGAGAATTTGTAGTAGCTGTAGAGATGAATGAGTCAGCACTGGGGACTGGCTGTGTGGTTTTGGGAGATACAGAGGAGATAATTTCGGGAGGGATGTCCACGCGGGCAGGCTGGAGCAGGATACACGTGGGCAGGGAATTTTGGGCTCCACCGTTGTAGTTGTGGACATGTAGGGCTGGAAGGAGCTGCCAAGACCATCTGGTGCCCATCCCATTGCAGGGAAGGGGATGATGCATCGAGACCACACCAGGTTGAAGCTTGGGATGACCCAGCAATGTGTGGTGGCACCCAGAACCCCCCTGCCCTGGGCTGATCCCACAGCAGGGCAGGGGGGGATTCTGCCCCTCTGCCCCCTCAGGTGAGACCCCCCTGCAGAGCTGCTCCAGCCCTGGGAACAACAGCACAAGGACCTGGAGCTGCTGGAGAGAGTCCAGAGGAGGCCCCAGAGATGCTCCCAGGGCTGGAGCCCCTCTGCTCTGGAGCCAGGCTGGGAGAGCTGGGGGGGTTCTCCTGGAGAAGAGAAGGCTCCAGGGAGACCTGAGAGCCCCTTCCAGGACCTAAAGGGGCTCCAGGAGAGCTGGAGAGGGACTGGGGACAAGGCATGGAGGGACAGGACACAGGGAATGGCTTCACATGGACAAAGCACAGGGATGGATGGAATATTGGGAAGGAATTCCTGGCTGTGAGGATGGGCAGGCCCTGGCACAGGTTGCCCAGAGAAGCTGTGACTGCCCCTGGATCCCTGGAGGTGTCCAAGGCCAGGTTGAAGCAATTTTTCCACTGCTCCCATTCATCTGGGTCACCTCAGCAGGGACCCTTAGGCACACGGGGCTGGATGGGACCCTCTGAACCTCTGGTGGTTTGCAACCCATTTCCAGTCTGGGTCAGTGGGCAGCTTGTAGTTTGTTTTTTTGGGTTTCCTTCTTTCCTTCGTTCCTTCTTCCTCTCTTTCCTTTTGCAGTTTGCTGTTTTATTGGGTTTATTTCTTTCTGCTTTATTTTTTGGCTGTTTCTCCAACCCAGACATCACTGCTCTGTGTCTCCAAGGTACAGCACCCACAACCTTTGGCTCTGCAGCTGGCATGTCAAAATATTTTTTCGTCTCCTGTTTACTCCCTGTACCAACCTTTTCTCTCCAGCTCTTCCCGGGTGAGATGTGTTCAGTAACCAGAGGTGCAGAGTGTTGCCCTCTGGAGAGGAGGTGCCCATTCCTGCTGAGGCTCACGAGCCGTGTTTGTGGCTCTCACGGATCCCTGCGATAAACCAGGATGTTTATCCACGCTGTTCTCCGTAGGCAGGCACACCCTTGGAGCTGCCACCCCTCGGCAGGAGATCCTGGTGGTTAGTACCGAGCCTAGAGTTTGGTCCTGATCATTTCCAGCCCGTTTTGAGCACGGCAGTCCAGGTCAGTGCCTGCCTTCCTCTGTGCCTCCCCGATCCTGCTCCGCATTGGTGCTGCTGGACCACCTGGTGTCATCAGGAGGTCTCATCAGTGCTGCCCTACATTTCTCCTGCCAAGTCA